GTGTGACAAAACAGAGTTCTGCTTGAGCGCTGGAGAACCCGCTCGAGCGCGAAATCACACAGCTCAGTATTTTTACAGACCTGACAAACTATTGAGACATCTCATATTACGCTCGAGCGCCAATGTTTCCGCTCGAGCGGGAAAGACAAAAAACTAGGAAATACAACTTTATCAAAACAAAGTGTGTACGCGGATTTGACAATAAAGGGACCTAACAGTTGTTTTTTTATTTATTTATTTATTTGTTGGGCTGTGTTGGTTTGGTTGTTTTTATTTATTTATTTATTTGTTGGGCTGTTTTTTTATTTTATTTTATTTTATTTTATTTTTTTTAAGGGTGGTTATGTGTAGGGATGGGTTTAGGGTTTTAGGATTTAGGGTTTAAGGTTTTAAGTTTAGGGTTTTAGGGTTTAGGGTTTTAGGGTTTAGGATTTAGGGTTTAGAATTTAGGATTTAGGGTACACATAACCACCCTTAAAAAAAAAAAAAAAAAAAAAAACCCCAACCAACCAACACAGCCCAATAAATAGAAAAAAAAAAGAAAGATAAAAAAAAGAGAGGGCGAATTCAAGGCATTGGAGCCTTAACCATTCGATGCTCCAAACATTTCCCTTCCAAGAGGAATCAGAGATTATCTCCAATTTACTTGTAGCATGTGGATTCACTATATGTTAAAAAAAAAAAAAAAAAAAAAAAAAAAAAAAAAAAAAAAAAAAAAATTCTACTTGATTTGAAAATTGGGACTACATGATTTCAGTGATGAAAAATATAAAACCAGTTATATATCATTCAACTCTTTTCATTATTTACACGTATCAGTCTCACCGCTTTATATATAAGAAGAAGCTAACTAACTAAACCAACTCTAACTAACTAGCAAACTATCTAACTAACTAAGGAAAATATTCACATGTAACAACAGCACAGGAATGAAACAATGAGACCTCAACTTAGTTCCTTGAACTCTTTGATCTGTTGAACTTGAACTGGATTGAACCGAAACTGATTTGTCAACATTTCCCCTCAAGCGAAAGGAAGGAGAAACCTCCATAAGCTTGTCTTTAAGATAGGAAAATCGAGAAACAGACAAGGGCTTGATGAATATATCAGCAAGCTGATCAATAGTAGGAACATAATGCAAAACAAGATGTTTGGCAAGAACTTGATCGCGCACAAAATGACAATCGACCTCAATGTGTTTGGACCTTGAATGAAAGACAGGATTATATGCCAGTGCAATGGCAGAAACATTATCACACCAGAGCAGTGGCATAGTAGGAGAAGCAATACAAAAATCATGGAGAAGCATGCCATGCCACGCAAGCAAAAAAATGAAACCTTAACTCCTTGAACTCTTTGATCTGTCTTTGATCTGTAGCACATGAATGAAACAATGGGACCTTAGCTTAGCTCCTTGAACTCTTTGATCTGTCTCTGATCTGTTGAACTTGAACTAGATTGAACTGAAACTGATCTGTCAACATTCAGGATATCATATTTATTTAAAAAATAAAAATAAACGGCCATAATGAATTTTAAAATAGATTTTATTTTATGAAAACAAATATAATGAAATTATGTAATTAGAATTATATTTTTATCATTAAATAATTTTTTCACACGATTGACAAAAACAAGCAAAAAAAAATAAAATGTTTAAGACTTACAAAAAAATCTTTCACAATTTAATCCACAATGATGTGTGTGGCATGATACATGTCAATTTTTGATTTGTCATATACTCAATTGTGTAGGGTTTACCTCTTTTGTCATATTATTGTGAGTAAAATTAGGTATCTAAATTGTGCATCTCTAACATTACTCAAAAATAAATCATTTGAGTAGAACATATGATTCACTAACCCTGATTGAGGAGGTGGATGAAGTGCTCCTTACTGATTTGATCCTTGAGTTCAAGTTTTATTATTGTGCAATGAATTCTCCTTTCAAGTTTGAGTTTTATGTCTACTTTAGTTTACAATTACAAATTATTCAAAAAATCGAGAATTTATGCACCAAAATAAACACAAATTGAAAGCAAAACAATAATGTTTTGCTAAAAAATGTGTGCATACCTTGAGGACACAACCCCCCCCCCCAAAAAAAAAAAAATAAATAAAATAAAATAAAATAAAATTGATAAACAAAAGTGATAAACACATAGAGAACTTCATCATCATCATCTAACTGTGGAAGCAACAGTTTGAGCCCACCATTTGAGGCTATCTTTCATGTTAATTTCATTTCCCAAATCAGGAACTCTCCAATTAATCAATGGGTTATTCTTCTTGTTCTTCATCTCTCTGTTTCTTCTATCCAAAACCTCCCATGCTTCAGATAGGTAAGGCCTTGGAATTGGAGTCGAAGATTCATCAAAACTATTCTTTTGACTCTCTTCCTTTTCACCATCCTTCTTGGCCAATCTTTGCAACCCAGGAATGATTTCAACCAAACTTGAATTCACATCTTCTTCGGAGAACACAAAACCCAGATCCATAAACCCTTTTAGCTCTTCAAACTCAAGATCTGACAAGCTCTTTGTCATACCCTTATTTGTTTTTCTCCTGATGCTTGTACTTCTCATGCTTTGATGTTGTTGTTCTTCAACATGTAATTGTGTTGTTGGTTCTTCATATGTAGTTTCTTTCCCTGAGAGGATGGTCTGGAGATTTGGTGTGAAGAGGACAGAGTTTGGAGAGAGAAAATCAGAATCAAAGCTTGTCATGGAGCTCAACTGGTCACTTTTTGACCTAACATGGATTGATTGGAGGCTTGGAATTGAAAGCTCTGGTTCTTGTTTGTTTTCTTGATTTTGCTGATCTGGGTTTGTTTCAGAACTTGATTTTTGAGGTGGGTTCTTGAAGATTTCAAGAGTGAACCAGTATGAATCATAGAGGTCCATAACTTCTTGTGGGTCCATTAATGGTGGGTGAAGAGGAAAACCAGGCTTTGGCTTTAGAGTAGTGGGTTTTGTAGATGATTAGAGAAGGTTTTAGGCTATTGGTTTATATATGAGGAATTTGGTGTCGTTATATTTGTTTTGTTTGACTTAAATGCCCATTGTATTTACTTGAAGGGTTCAACTTGTGAGTTACACGTTTTAAAATTGCTTTTGTTTTATTATGTGGGTTTGATTTAAAAAAAATAAAACAAAGATTTGGAATGTGGTGGGAAGGAGTGGCTTTTAAGGGTGAAATAAATCATTGCGTTGGGCAAAACATGACTTCAGTGGATGTCAATCTACTGGCTAGGCTACACCTTCATGATATGCTTTTGATGGTCATGATGCCAATCAAGATTGTACACCTTGTCCAACCAAAAAGTGTTACAGATTTGATATTATTTATTATCAAATGTGATAAATTATTTTGAATTCAACATGTAACCCATGCAATATCTTTACAATTTTAGTTTTTTTTTTTATAAATTATAAATACACATCCTGAGATTTGATTAAAATACGAACTAGTGATGAACTATAATCTCATCAAATGTTTTGGCCAGAGTACTGAGTCTTGTTTTCAAACTCAAAGTTGAATAAGAAATGGAAAGTGAATTGTAACATAGACTTGGCTGTCATGGAATTGTAATAAGATGTAAATGGAATTGTAAGTATTGACCATCTATCAGTTGCTAATCTTTTAGGCATTGTTCATAGTCGGTTTAGTATGTTTCTACTGGGCTGTGGCTCACCCTATATGGGAACATCATTTTCAGGTACAGGTAACATGCCACCTCCAAGGAGATGGCTTGGGAGGCTAGAGACGGATAGACTTTTGTTGTCTTATTTCCTTTTGATGTATTATATGTAAATTCAGGCCAAGGGTTTAATGTGTAATTGAGTTAGTACTCTCTTTTGTAACCAAGTGTTAACTTGGAAAGCTGTAAGCCCGTAGGGTATTTGCTTTTGTTGTTGACATGTAATACTTTTACTAATGAAATACTCTGATGAATTGAAGAATGTGGATATTTTATATATAAATGCATGTTTATATTGTTGGGTTTAATGTTATTTTTTTGGAGGGTGTGACAAGGTGCATTTGTAATTTACCCTTTTATTTTTTTTTAAAGTAATTATGTAGTGATGGTGGTGGCGATAATAATAATGGTGGTGATAAACTAGTGGTTGGGGAGGGATTTTGTCAAGGCGAGATAATATATTTCATGAAAAGAAAAATAAATAAATTTAATAAATCTTTACTTTTTTCCCAACTTGAGTCAAGTTTTATTTTATTTATTTTATTTACTTTTTTAGTCAGCCTAGGCTAGATTATTCTTAAAATTATAAAATTTTGACTTAGTTTAAAAAAAAAAGTTCACAAAAGTAAGCAAAATGTTATTAAATTTTTTTGATTAAAATTATCTTCTTTTTTTATTTTTTTTTTATTTTCTGAGTGTTCAAAAAAACCAATTATTATTTTTAATTTTAGAATCGTTGACATGAATCCAGAAAAATAAAAAATAAAAACGTAATTTTAAAAAATTTACTAAAATAAGCTTAACTAAAAAAAGTCAAAAAAGTAATGTCATAAATAAGCCCTATAACAACCTCTTGAAAATTAATTTATTTGCTAAAAAATCTATTTTGTTAAAAAAGGGAAGAAGCTTAAGATCATTTGGAATACCCTCCAACCAAAAAGTCTACTTTAACCACTCTAAATTTTTTTTAGAAAAGTTTTTTTTAAAAAAATAGTAATATTTAAAACAAACAATTTTTTTTTTGGACTTATTTTTAACCAATATATAAATTAAATTTTTTTTATATATATATTAAAAGAAAACTAACTCCCAAAGGTAACATTACTTTAGAAAGGGCTTCCATTTGGAAGGGTTGGTGATTACTTATATACTTATGATTATGACATACTTAATCCACCTTTGATGTGAGATAATTTTTTATTTTTTTATTTATTAATTTATAAGAGAAAGTCAGAATAATCATGAACAATTTAGTTTAATCATCCAACAACAACTTCACTGAGTAATGACTTTTTATGATCAGGTAAAATTATAATTAAAAAAAAATTTACACTCATATATCTTTAAATCTAGATAAAATACAGTTAATTTTACATTTTTAACATAATTACATTAACTTTAATGTCAATGGTAGGTAGATATTGAAATAAATAAAGATAAATATACATTTTAGTAAAAAATATATGATAATATATCATTTTTTTTTTTCCATTCATACAACTAACGAATTATTGATAATAATAATGAATTACTGATAAAAAATGACCTAAATGTTACGTAATTTATAACTTTGGAGAAAATCAATGTAATTGTGGGGATACATTTTCAGAGTACCAACACATGGCCAAGGTGATGCCGACGTGTCAGCCGAGGTGCCATGTGTCCTGGTCATGACGCCGAGATCATCTCGGCTAGGCTGAGGTTATCTCCGAAGATATCGGAATCCGAGATGTGCGGATAAGGTACAAGAGTCCTAGAATGAGGAATGACTCCAGCATGGATAAGGATAAAACTCTTAGGGAGTTTATCTTTATCTATTGAAGAGTCCATGATAAGCACTGAGCTAAAGTCCATTGAAGTAAGACTTCTATTGGGACTAGGATTGAGTTAACTATAAAAGAAAGGCACCCCCGATGGGTTTAAGGTACGTAATTTATATTCAGAACAGTGAGTTTAGCAATTGATTATCTTTGAGAGATACACTGACTTGATCGTCGGAGTGCCCGCGGGTGGACGAACCACCGCCGGAATCTTCTCTTTCTGTTGCAGGTCAGCCAGGTGTCATCTATTCTGCCAGTACTCTCCAGCTGAATACTAAGTTAGCAGTGTGATTGAAAATTCACTCACACAATTTGGCGTCATCTGTGGGAAAGAAAGGAGAATAGATGGCCAGGGACGGACAGAAGGATAAGGTTGGAAACGAAACCCCTGCTGGGAACGGTAAGCACACTGATCCTAATATGGAGGGAGATGGTCACAACGAAGAGACTCAGAACCAGAATCACGGCAGGAAAGACGTCGGCCAGGGTGGCGACGTACCAAGGGAACCTGATCGGAGCAGGTACTACAACGAGGGTGACCTCCAGGTATGGAAGGATAGATGCCTACAAAGGGACGAAGAGGTGAAAGAGATGGCAAACAAATTGGCAGACCTGCAATCGGTGGTCAATTTTATGATGCAAAACAACGTCATGCAGCCACCACTCCCACTGCAGGACACGCCGATTCCAGCGGCCAATGCCCAGAAGGGAGGGCAGAAAACAATCCCTGCAGCCCCCCAGCACACCAGGAGCGAAAGACACTCTCACCGACCTTCAAGGGAGGTCGGTCGAGGAGAGTCAAGGAGGGAAGAATCGCGGAGGACGCACCGTACCAAGGAGGCAGACCCCAAAGAACATCGGCATGTTCAGGGGCCGGCGCTATGCTTCGACACAACTCACGGAGAAGGGTCAAAGATGGCTCACAACGAAGTTGAGAGCAGTGCACATAAAAGACTGAAGTCAGGAGCTAGCCGAGCTCCTGGTCGGACCAAAGAAGACTTGAGAGATTACCTCAAGAGGAAGCAACAAAACGCCGATGCCGAAGTAACCTCCCCTGATAAGCCGAGAACACCATTATCAGTGGAGCTAGACAAATTCGAGGCTCCAAAGAGATTCAGTATGCCAAGGTTTCAAATATACGACGGTAAGTCGGACCCCAACTTTCACGTTGGATTGTACCTAAATTTGATGGCATTATATAGTGGGAACGAGTCGTTGCTTTGCAAAGTGTTCCCCTCGTCTTTTGGGGAGATTGCGTCAGATTGGTTCCACAAACTGCCGAAGGGAAGTGTGAAGACCTGGAAAGGCCTGGCCGAGATGTTCGTGGCCAAGTTCGTGACAAACAAGCTACAACCATTGAAGGTGGACGTATTGATGGCTCTGAGAATCAGTAAGGATGAAGGCCTTAAAGCCTACACAAAAAGGTACTACAAGGTGTTCAACCGAATACCTGAATGCAATCAAGAGGTGGCGGTTGTATCTTTCAAGAACGGCCTAAAAGACAACTGTCCACTACGAAAATCTTTGGCAAAGACATTGCCAAAAAGCATAGAAGAGCTCATCGCTAGAATTGAGAAGCATGCCAGAGCTGAGGAAGATACGTCGGGGACGAAGGAGACAAAGCAAGAAAAAAGAAACGGCTCGCCGAAGCGAGGCCGAGGTAACAATGGATCTAGCAAGCAAGAGATAGGACTGAGGGCTACACAGACAGTTAAAACTGTGTTCCGAATCCCGATTCACAAAGTCTTGGACAAAATTCGGAGCCAACCCTATTTCAGAGCACCAGTGAGGGCACCAGAAGAGTTTATAGGAAGAAACCTTGACAGACATTGTGCTTACCATAATGAAGATGGGCATATGACTCAGGGTTGTAGAGCCCTGAAAACACACTTAGAAGACCTAATGAGGCAAGGCCATCTGAGAGACCTTGTCGATGAGGCCAGGACAAGGGAAGAACATGCAAGACTGCCACAGGCAACAGCAGCTCCACCTCTCCCAGCACAGCAACCTCAGGCAGGAGGACCTCGGGTAATTAATGTAATTCACTCGAAGGTCAACGAAAATGAAATTCGGGGGGAGACCCAAAAGGTGAAGCACTTGCAGCATGTCTACCAAATCGAGGAGAAGAGACATTGGGCAGAGGAGTGCCAGGGACCAGTAGTGTCCTTCACAGAAGCCGACCTTGAGATGGTGCATCATCCACATAACGATGCCTTGGTAGTATCCCTCTAGGTTGGGGAATGTCAACTAAAGCGCTTCTTGATTGACCAAGGCAGCTCTTGTGACATCTTGCATGTCAAGTGCTACAAAGAGCTTGGCCTTCACCCAGACGATATGGAGCAATCCAACGGCCTAATGGTCGAGTTCAATGGAACGCCGACATGGCCACTAGGAGCAGTAA